AATCTAAGTAATGCATTTAAAATAATTAATGGCTAAAAAGCAATCTCACTTTGTTTGGCAGAGGCACGCTCTATCAAACGTTTCCGACCTGACCTTTGTATACGGGAGGAAAATGTAATTAGCCCTTTTTTACCATAGTGATTAGGGATCCATCTAATAACCTTTATTAATTTTAAATTTTATTTTCTTCCCAACCTTGTACTCAAGCATTTATTTCGTCCTCTGATATTCATCTCTTATCGGTGTTCACATATTTGCTTATTTTATCATATTGAGAAATTACCTAATCACCTATTAATTTCAATTCTTTTAAATACTCTTTTATCTTGACTATGATTACTGGTAACTATAACAGCTGCTTTGTTCTGTATAATTACTTACACTTTGTATGCGTATTCGTCTTATTATTATTACTTTAGTTACGTTTTTCCAACATTTATCTAAACTTCGCAAACTGATGTATGCTAAATATTTGTTAATAATTATATTAATTTAATGGTTGAATTCATCAGTCGATTTAAGCTAAACCACCTTAGAAAAGCTAGAAGCTTTAGACAGTTACTCACTGAAAACAATGGTGGACAGTGGCACAATTTCGTGGATTTTTGAAAGTTAAACATTAACACTGTGTGGATGCTGGCTCAGTGTTCTAGGTGTTAAGCGTTCACGCGCAATACCAAAAACCTTTGTGTTCGAGTCCCACGTAACAGATCGTGGATGCGCACTGTTGATAAGTTCCATACTAGGATGAAACAGTCTTCCAGTACTTCCAGGTTTCTCAAGGTAGTCTGGCTTAAATCGACTCATGAATTCAACCATTGAATTACTATAATTCCCACAAACCCTCATTCTGACAACTGATGAGAAACTGTGATATAGAATGAATTGATTTTATCCTACAAAACTTGTTAGTCTTGCTCTGTTTAATTAAAACATAAGAAAATTATTTGACAAGTAAACAATGCTTCCTACTTGAATAATGTGAAAATAATGAAAAGAAATACAAAAACTTCATTCACATAGTGAAAGTTTTAAATCATGATTAAGTTAAAATAGTTTGTCATTGTGTTATTGCCTATTTAATTTATGATTGAAAGAACTTCAGTTATGATTTTTAATTAATTTACTTCACTTATTATCAGATCTAGTAAAGCAGAATTGACATTCTTGTTAATGAACAAAATTACCTTCTATCTAGTAAGTATATTAATTAAACACACTTAATTTTAATAGTTGAAATCCTGAGTCAATTGAAGCTAGACCACCATGAAAAACCTGGGAGCACTGGACGGCCGTTCCGTCCTAGTATGAGACTCCTCAGAAATGCGCATCCATGATCCACCCTCCGCGAGATTCGAACCCAGGACCCATGAGTCTCATGCGCGAGTGCTTAAAAATTTAGACCACTGAGCCGGCATCCAACGGTGTTAATTTCTAACTTCAACCAATCCACGAAATTGCTTCAGCGTACACCATTGTCTTCAGTGAGTTGATATCTCACAATATACCTGGTTGAACTCCACCGGTCACTTAATTTTGCTGAAAACTGTGAATAGTAAAATGATACATCTGCTGTAATTGTTGAATATCTTATGAATTATCGATTATTTGACTTGTAATGATATCACATCGCTGGGCTATACAAGATGGAATCATCAAAAGATTATACGTTTTACTAATATTTCAACTACTTATCGTATCAACAAAACTTATTGAAAATGACATTTAGACATTTAGACGCTGGTTCATCGTTAGTGACAAACATGATTATGTATGTGATGTTGTGCGATACAAGCACAGATATTTTATAAAGAACTACCTTCTTTGAGATTTCAGAAAACTCTTACGGATGATTATTACTAAGATGGCTCATAATTGTTTAACAAGCTAAAACTGTTTTTTTACATTTATTATACCGATAAAAATTATTTAAAAAAACCAGTTGTGATATCCGTCCGATTTGGAAGCTATATTGAAATACACAATATATACCTCACACCCTATAATCTCAACACGGTGTCTTTTTCAATCTGTCAAGTATTATGAAAACTATATCATTAAATATTCATTTTATTAACTGTTATATTTTGGTGGTTGATATCATGAGTCAATTGAAGCTAGACGACCATGGAAAGCCTGGAAAAACTGAAAGGCCATTTCATCCTATTGTGGGACTCCTGGTTTTCCATGGTGGTCTAGCTTCAATTGACTTATGATATCAACCATTGAAATTACTAGAATTATCCACAAAACCCTTCTGTTATACTCTGATTAACTTTGACTAAGACTTGTTCTTCTCATTCTACTTAAATTACATCGAAAATCAAGTCAGCCTAATTGATCACCTAGTTTATAAGTAGGTTATTAAAAATATATATATTTATTTTGAAAATAATGCTCCCCATTTGCCATAAAAAGGTCTTAATAACTATTCTGAAGATAGAAAATAATATTATTATTTTGAAAATATAGAAAACTTGATAAGCTGTTGTTCATTTCTACGATTGACTAGTTTTAATACACTACTATGTGGGTTATATTTCTATTTCGAATTATGTTTAAGAGTAAGAACTAGAATGATTGTTCCATCCTAACCAATAATTGTACTATCATTCAGGTGTTATTATCAAGACTGAGGTTTAAGCCTAATACCTAACAATTTCAACACTGACCCTTGATCTACTTTAGTTACTAAGTCTAGATAACCATTTCATAAAATCAAGGCACTTGTTCAATGTGTTCATATTACAAAATTTTAATTATAAAATGCCAATAACACAAATCTTATATAAATGACAAAAGCATGTCTGAAATAAATGTATTCTATCTGATATATAAATAAAAATTTCATAAATACGCCAATATTTTTTTTCTCTCCAAATTCATTTTATAAACATCTTAATGTGTAAAATGTATAATTATAAATGTAAGAAAACAATCTTGGTAACTAAAATTAAATTGCCTTTTTATTTCCATAAGCAACAACATGAAAATAGTTAATTGAATTCCATTTAGTATTTAATAATTTAACCAGACTAAATATTATTGTTAAGAATAAATTATAACTTATTTTATCAATACAACCAACTGATATAAATTAACTTTTAACCTTTTTTTGTTGTTGTTGTTGTCATGGTTAGTTTTGGTATCTATGCGACTAATTAGAAGGATTAGTTTAGTAGTCTTTAACATATACATATTAAGTTAAATCTGTTTTGGAAGAAAGTTTATGGAGATAGAATAGAAGAATTAGTTATTTATCAAAATGAACAATAATTTAAATAAACTATATGGAATAAAAATGAATCGATTTGAAAACAAAAAGAAAAAGAAAAAGGTTCCAACTTATGATGTTCACCTATCAAGTTTATTTTGTGAGTAAATGGGTTATAAGTTGGAGATCTCATTTTAAAATATGGAATTTTAGTTCACATTAAACTTGTAAAGATCACAAAATCGATAATTAGTGTTATATCTACATATATAATGTTAACACAGAGAATAGATGAAATCTTGATGTGTGGCAACAGATATATTTTTATCCATTTCATTATAAACTTTTACTGTAAATAAAAAAACCGACTTTATTTAATAGAAAATTATATATAAGTAGAGATGGATGGTGGCTAGCAGTGGAATCCAGGATATGAGTTATGTCATATTTGAGACTCATCAGTCAGGTGTACCAATACAAAATGAATTAGAGTTATATATGGTCTATTGGTGGTGTTTTTATCATAAACTAATATCCACTGAAGAGCCATTGACAGTCTAGTAAAAATCAGCTGTCCAAACCTCTAGAATCATTAAATGTTTCTCTAGTTATTATCACTTAAAGAAGAAAGTATATTATTAATATTGAGTAATCACTTAGCGGTAATAATGTCATGTTCGTTCATTGTTTCAGTGTTAATAGAATATCATTTCTAAAATCAATCAAATTTCTTTATAATTTGGATAAACTTTATACAAAATACAAATTTTCATAACCTAAATCTTGATATGATTTACTTTTTCTTTCACCCATAAATTAGCGATATTACAAAAAATACAATTGAAACAATATAACTATTTTAATTGTTAAATTCATGAGTCAATTGAAGCTAGACCACCATCGAAAACCTAGAAACACTGTACGGCCGTTTCGTCTTGTTGTGAGAATCCTCAACAGTATGCATCCACGATCCCGCCTCGCGAGATTCGAACCCAGTTCTTCCAGGTTTTTCATGGTGGTCTAGCTTCAATTGACTCATGATTTCAACAATTACATTACTATAATATCCACAAAACCCCTCTCTGATTATAACTTAACTATTGATGACAATAAGAACAATATTGGACATTGACTGAAAACATACTGTAGTGAACGAGAACACAGGTGGGGACAACCGATGTATCTTGGTAATATGTGAGAAACATATATCAAAGGCTTTATTTTAAAATTCCTATCATTTGTAGTTCATGTTATGTATGATTCTCCCTATTCGAAATTCTTTTCAAATTTCCTTCTCCATTCTCTTCAACTTGATCTTAACCTTCTGATGCCAGCGTTTCCACTTCCTATTGGTGTTATATACTAGTTATGTTTTTCGACATAAGTAGCCTACACCACAATATTAGTTTAAAATCTGTTAAACTGGATTAATGAATTTTTACCAATAAACAACTGGACATATACCTTTTATTAAACTTGTTTAATTTAGTTACTTTATTTTACTTTTAGACTAAATTGTTTTTTTTTTCATTTTGAAAAATCTTCTTAGTTCATGGGCCATTTGTAGTAGAATCCAAGAGGTGTGTCCTGTTCTGTTTAAAATTTATTATTTGGATGCACCTGGATCCCAACGTTGACGTTCGCATTGGGACTCAAACCAAGAGTTCATAGCTTTAAACATCACATCATTAACTAACCCACTGTGTTTCGTAAGTCAATAATTTAAATTATAGGTTGTTCGAAATTTAGAGCTTATTAGGCTAAAGAGTTAATACTATTCACTCACTTTAAAGCCTTCTAGTTTTTCCGTTCGTTTAGGTTGTTGCCAAGTAACCTTCACACTAGTATCATCTCCAGAACAAAATAAACCACGTACTGAGAAATCACTTTCACCATTACCGCTGGCTAGTCGACTAATTACCGGTTGACTGCAGTCACCATAACGACCATCTGGTCCACGTGATTTAATACAAATTACGTAACTCGTTTTACTTTCTAAATGACTTATAATGGCCATATTAACTGGGCCAACATCAAATGACGTCCATTGACCCGATTCATAAGGATTATTATTAGCGGAATAGAGTAGACGAAAACCTTGTATTGAGATTTGTTTACTGCCTACACCACTTTGATCTTCGCGTGTTGGTATACGCCAGGTTACTTTGATTTGATGTTGGTTAATTCTTGAGGCTTGAATATCTAATGGTGGAGGTGGTACTAAAAATAATTTTTTTTATTTAGAGGAAAAAAGAATAAGAAGGAATGTCATTTCTGAGCACTTCACTTGTGACACGTGTTAATAGAACATCAAGATTGAGGAAATTATTCCATTTTTAAAATACTTCAAAACACGGAACGAAATTGACTAGACATTCACTGAAAACTAAGTATGGAATCTTATACCTATTTGTAGCTACTCATCGATCATGAGTTGAACAAACGATCTTTAAGTCTTACGTTAAGATTATTGATTTCAGGTCACTGAGTTAGGATCTAGTAGTTCGTAGTTTTATAATTTCTCAATAGCATCTGAATCTCATTTCATTATTCATAAGAAATAATTCAACGTACTATTTCAATCGTACATTTCTTTTCATAACTATTCACAAAAGACTTATTTTTTTCGTTTTATTTTATACATTATCTCGGCATATCTAGTTAAGATATTGATAACAATCAGATTGTATTATTGTAGAGATAAATGATTAACCAATCAAATGTCTCATAATAGAATAGATTATCAGTTGTTATGTGAAGTTCATATTTATTTTCATTAATCGATATTTTTGTTTAAAATAAATCCTGATAATTTATACATAAATAATGACGTATTATTGCTTACACTCAATACTTGTACGTATATTACTTGCACCAGACCAAGGTCCAGGTCCAGCTGAAGTAAATGCTCTAACCATAAATGTATAAAATGTTTTCTCTTTTAATCCTCTTGCTGTATATTGCCTTTGTCCTGGTACTGTCACTTTGATTATAGTCTCAGTTTGTGTTTCAGCACCAACTTCGAAAATTCTAACTTCATAACCAGTAAGTTTCCCATTACGATATTGTACTGGAGGTGGAGCCCAGCTAACTTCAACGGAACTTGATGATAAACCACTTAAGCGAACATGTAATGGACTGCTAGAAGGAGCTAGAAGAAAGTAACAAATTAAGTCGAATATTTTTATTAATTGTTTTAACAAAATCTAAAACACAAGTGAAATGTGAATGTAGAAGGTCAACTACCTTTTTTAAACATATTAGTTTTAGCGAATAAGTACAAACTTATCTTTAAAAGAAGGGTCTTTTGGAACGATGTGTCCACAGTTAATTAAATGCTCCTGTATCGAACTAGTAATTGTTTTACATTCTCTTTTTAAGAGCCAGGCAGGAGAGTGTTCCGAGTTGAGTTTGGATAGTGGTCGCTTTGTGCGGCCTATGTAACGTGTCCCACATGAACAAATAAATTTATATATACACATTGGTGTGGCCGAAAGCGGAAGTTTGCCCTTAACACATCCCAGAATGGTAGGTCGGCTAGAGAAAACAATTTGGAGCTTAGCTGCGTAGAATGTTTTATTCAACGATTTTGTAATCCGTTTATTTCATCTTCCACAGACCCTCATCAGAAATGGTTATCCACCTAGATTCGTCAATAGCAACTTGACATCCAGACTTCATGAAAAAGCATCAACAGTACAGAAGAAAACTCTGTTTATGAACATGGATTTTAAAGGAGACACGGCTGCTGAAATTCTTAATAAATGGATTTCAAAATCGTTGAATAAAACATTCTACGCAGCTAAGCTCCAAATTGTTTTCTCTAGCCGACCTACCATTCTGGGATGTGTTAAGGGCAAACTTCCGCTTTCGGCCACACCAATGTGTATATATAAATTTATTTGTTCATGTGGAACACGTTACATAGGCTGCACAAAGCGACCACTATCCAAACTCAACTCGGAACACTATCCGACCTGGTTCTTAAAAGGAGAACGTAAAACAAGCTTATATCTTTATCATTTATATTATTTTTCTTTCCATTTTATTTGATGTAAGTTGTCTGATGAGTTGTTTGCTGTCACATGAATATATATAAATTTACGATCTAGTATGTATGTAAGTAATGAGTAGCGCCAAAAGAAGAATAGGAAATAGATAGAATGATATAGTAAACAGATATCATATCAATATTTTATAGCCATTATAATTTGCTTGTTAATATAAGTGTTCTCATATATATATGTACGCGTTTATCCATATTGAAGTGTGTAAAAACAGCATCCAGTTAACATTATCATAAAATCTACTTTAACCTAAGAACAAACATCAAAACCAAAATCTGTGATTTGATCTATGCTGGTGATGTGACGGATAAAACAAATTTTTTTTAGAAAAAAAATAATAAGAACCCTACTAGATAAAATACTACCAAGTGATATTAGCCGACTTGTAAAGTGTGAAATACACAAGGGTATACTAAGACTAAACTAAAACTAAACTGGCTATCATGTGACATTTGAGATAATACTGATATGGTGAATTATTGTTTCTTTTTTTCTGTTCATACTGATGAAAAAGATTTTATTCTATAGCCTACTATTAAATGTAATCATGATAATTTATATTCTTTGATTAGTCTTATAGTTTTTCAATGGATTTCAAATTACTTATTCCGACCTTAGCGACCCAACATCATACAACGTATTTGTATTATTGAACACTAAATCAAAATGAGACAACTCATATTGTTTCATATTGAAAACCCCAAGTTTATAATCAATATTACTGAAACTACTTCTCACATTCATTACGATTTATCATCAATCCTAGTATATCCATAACATTTAGGAAGTTCTACTATTATTGTAAAAATATATATCAATGATATACTACTGAATAATAGTAATATAAGTTCATACACAATCCAATCCTAGTTATTTAATCACTATAATTTGGAATAATTCATGTGAAATATGAGGATAGGAATTTAATTATTTCTCTGAACTAATGATATCATTAACCATTGTATTGTAGTTTAAAGGTTGGAATTTTTTTTCTAGAATTTTTCACAATTATTAATTTATAGATGTTGCTTTAATTCTAATTACAATCGGAATAAATTGAATTATGTTTAAAAGAATAACAAAATTAAAAATAAGAAGAACATCATGTGGTTGCCTGTAGTTTCAAGTTTTCCTTTCATTTGTCCAGAACAAGTTTCTATGTATAACATATGAAATAACTTCAGATTTTTGATAGAAAATTGTTGTGCTTAATTAAATTACCATAACAGAAAACATTTTTTTCCTGTTTGTATGTTTTGTAATGGTGTAGTGCTGTTTGAGCTAGATGATTTGATTGGTTTGAATACTATGTTTCTAGGAGTCAGTCTTTCTGAGATTTTCTTTTATACATTGGTTTCAATTCATTATCTGGTGGTTTATTTGCATAGATATAAGTGATACCATTTCATATAAACTCTTTGACGATATGTGTTCATGTATTTGTCGATGAAAGTCTCATTGACATTCTAGATCGAGGAAACTTTAAGAGCTCAAGAGAATGTCTAGGAGTACAGAACTTAGATTAAAATTGTGAATCAACAACCATACTGATATAGTTCAGTCTATTAACTCATGTGAAAGTGGTCAATCAGGCACACGGTAAGAGGTAAACTGCAGAACACAGTTGATATCAATACACGAACACATTAAGTCAAAACATAGATGTAGACAAAGAGCTATGAATAAGGTCATTAGTAAGAAGTGATCTAGGTTTTGTGGAATAACTTGAATAGCTCATATCTAACTGATAAAGTGGAAAATAATGTTATACACAACAACAGTGAAAGGCCTTCAATCAAGCTCAGAAAATATGACACCACCAGAATCATCCACCTGAGCTGCAGATCTATTCAATAATTCAGATTATCATGTAAACAAACGCAACCGATAGATCCTGGTAATCTACGTATGCATTCCATAGTATTATTTACGAAATTTTTCTTGATGACTCTTAGAAACCAGGTAAAGATTTCGCAGAGTATTTATAATTTTCCATAACTAATACTCTTACTGTATAGCATCAACAGGATTTCCCTTAAAATCATATATGTGACAGAAATGGTTTACTGCTAAAAAAAAATAATTAAATTGAAAGGTATTTGAGAGTAATAGACTAATGAATGACAAATTTTACTCTCAACTAATGAGTTAGAAAGTTTGTATGTCATTTATCTGTCTTTATTTGGGCACCCAAGTAGTTCACACAAATTTAGACTTACAGTCCTACATTCAAATATGTATATGATTAAAGAATATGGATATTATTTCAGCAAGAATATTGAGATTACTTTTAACTAACTGATATAACTTACATTTTAGTATGAAGATCAATATAGTAACTGATGCTGTTCAGTTAAACATTTACTACTTACTCCTGTTACCCCTAATGGAGGAGCATAGGCCACCTACCAGTATTCTTCATCCAACTCTGTCCCGAGCAAACCTTTCTAGTTGCTATTGATTTTTTCATGCCTGCTTCAAATTATCGACGCAGTGTGTTCTTTAGCCTTCCTCATTTTTATTTCCCCTCAAGATTCCGTGTTAGCACTTACCTTGTGATGTTTTATGATTTCCTCAATGTGTGTCCTATTCACTTATAAGGTTTTTTTCATGATATCCCTTTCAGCTGGAAATTGGTTTACTCTCTCCCACAATAGGCTGTTGCAGATGGTATCCGGCCAACGGACATTCAGAATCTTGCGCAGACAATTGTTTAGTAATTTTTGCACTTCTTGATGATAGCTGTAGCAGTTCTTCAAGTTTCAGCTCCGTGCAGTAGAAATATTGAAGATTCTGACTTTTATATTGGTTGACAGTTGTTTTTAGTTCTATATGTTCTTCAAATGTAGGAATGCTGCCCTTACTTTGCCAACCCCTGTCTTAACGTCTGCATCGGATCCTCCACGTTCATTGATGATGCTACTCAAATAAGTGAGGCTTTCCACCTCTTCCAGAGCATCTCTATCAAATGTGATTGAGTTGATGTTCTCCGTATTGTAATTCAGGATCTTGCTTTTTCTCTTTTGTATGTTGAGGCCTACTGATACAGAGGCTGTTGCTACATTTGCTAATAAAAATTTCATAATACTTAACCGTTTATCTAAAAGTTATGTGATAATACTAGATTCTCCTCCCCTCTAGTAAAAACATTAATGAAAATAACAATTTCTTTTTCATGTAAATTACGAAATGGTTTATGTGATAGACGTTTTTATCATGATAAGAGTATAACATGTAATTTTCTTTCTGTGTCAAATATTTTTGTCAGAAAAATGGGGGTTACACTGTTTTCTTTTTTTGATGAAGGTCGTTTTTATGATTAAATAGTATAGTGAGGTAAAGCCTAATATGAAAACATTTTCTTATATTATATCCATTGAAATATAATTACTTTTTTGATAGACGGGAACTTATTTTTCTTCCATTCCCTGTAACATTATTTTAATACTTATAAGTATGGGGTGATAGTGATTATTGAATTTGATTAAGACCATAAACTGATATTAGTAAAATAACCAGTGAAAGCATGGAAGCAGTGAATGGCTATTTCGTCCTAATATGGGACTTAATACTAGTGGGCATTCATGACCTTGGGACCAGGGGTCGAGCACAGACCCTTGGGTTTCAGTCACGAATTTTCAACCTACAAATAATAAGCTGAAATCCAATAACATATAAGCCTAACTTCAGTCAATTCATCATATTGTGAGACTATATTGCATTATCTTTGTTTGGTACCTTCTTCATACCGGACACGTTTTGCTCTTTCTTTCTTGTATTGATTTAAATAAGATATTTACCATACAAACGACTCATTCAATGTGATACTCCATTGATGTTTATAATCAACTATTTTACATGAAATTACTTGTGTATGTACTTGCTAACTGATTAGTTTGTACTGTTTATGAATGCTGATATGAATTCAATTTATATGTGCAACTTGATAAATACTATGAACGTAGAAAATAATAAGCTATACGTTGAAATGACTTTGTCAAATAATTGTACTGTTTATTAATATATCAGTAGAAATTATAGTGATTTGTACGTTTTTAACATTTACTGATCAAGAATATTTATAGCACGTAAAATGTCAAACTTTAAATGGTTAGTCACTGTATATATATACATATATGAATCGATTTTTTATTACTATCCAAATAAGGTTCAGTTCTTCTGTTGTTGTTTTTTTCGATTTAAATTGATCATTAGTCTTTGTTGGCGTATAAGCTGGACGTTCATCATGAACTGATATATCTGATGTAAAAAACTGTTTAAAAATCAGGAAATATTAGTTAATTGCTTAGTCAAAATTTGAAACGCGTCAAAGGTGTGCATACATAACAGGTATTACAACAGAATCGATTTAAAGCCATTAAATTATAATTTTATTTGGATGAAAAGTAGTCCTTAGTGACAATATTGTTAACATGTTTCAGAGTTTTTCTGGTTATTAAATAATAATTTCATACTTTTAAACAAATTTTCATAATAAAAATCACTTTTGAATTGAATTAAATATACATATTTTTAAATGTGTTGTTAAATTAACTCACGTGCATCTGGTGTAGTCACCTCTAATTGAGCTGTAAGACCTACTGAACTTGTATTCATAAGTGCAACTTCAAATAAGTAGGTTAATCCATAACCTTTAAATTTCAAGAATAGTAAATAGGTTAGATTTTGAATATATAATATGAATTCAATAACTAGATATATATAAAATTGATTTGAACCCTATAAATGCTCACTATCCCTTTTTTTGTATCTGATAAATTGAAATTTCCAATATTTTCAAACTAAATCAGAAATTTCATGGGGCAGTAAATGTTAACCTTTGGATGTTGATATATTGATGCAAATGAAATGTGCTCACTTTAGAATATTAAGGTTTTCAGTCCAATCCCAGAGAGAGAGAGAGAGAGAGCTATTGAGAAGTCACAATTATTGGTGATGAAGCTGTTGTCCAGTGTTTCTTGATTTTAATGATTCCTCTCAAATTTGAACTAACCTCTATTACCGCCAATATATACAGGGGAATGAATAGTTTTAGGATATTATAATCATTTGAAATGTAGACTGTTTTCTGAGATATTTGTACCATATAGTTTAACTATTTATAAAATTATTGAGACATACCAGACATTGAATGGCTGTTCCATCAACGATCGATACTGCTCATCAGTCCACATTCAAAACTGTACAGAGAATCGAACCGATGACTCCTAGATCCCCCGGTGACCACAAAATTATTGATGTAAACAATTATACACCTTAATAACGATTTATGTTCGACTTAAAGTGAGCTTTCAACACGTTAGGGCAATAAATTATATTTCAAAGTTTATTCAAAAGATATTTTAACATTGTGTGATATAGATCGCCAAAGTATTCGTGAACACTTGATCCATCATTTAAAGTTTAGAACTTAAGTGAATCTTTAGTAATGTATACTCTCATCCTTTTACTGATGTGAACAGATGGTAGTTACCTAGTAAATAATAGACACGATTCTCTGTAAAATTCGGCGAATAGCTAAAGGTAAATATATAAAATCAATGAATAACTCCTTAACTAATATATATCAGTGTAAATGTATCGTTTCTAGTTATATTGAACTTGATATGACCATCTGTCATCTAAATATTGATAAAAGTGTTTACTTAGACTTCTTATAGTCTTTGTAGTTTGTGTTTCAACAGTAAATGTAAGACAGTGTTTCCTTTGGCTAAATACTATCAAAAGATCAAATGAGCCATATGTTAGAAAATACTAATAAATAAAATTAGTAACACTTTATTGAGTTCATTTAAACACCGTTGTTGTTAAATGTAGAGAGGAGATCGCTGAAGGTATATGATTTAGATTTAATACAAGTAATCTCATAATTCATATTAAATGGCGTATGAAATTAGACCTACAGTGTTTATCTTGAATAAATTGGATTAAGAAAACTGAATCTAATAATTACATTGAAGTAACCAATTATCGGTTAAATTGTGTATATAATATAATATAGCGTTGTGAAGGCTATTGAACTTTATTACTTCAATCACTAACTGATCTGATTTAAGTAATCAATCAAAACAAGGAAGCAATAGACAGTTGTTTGGATTTAATATGGGACCCTTAAGTAGTGCTCACTCACCACCCTACTGGGAAACAAACCTAGGACCTTCGAAGTGAGTTATCAACAGGTAGATATCTGAGTCGGAAATTAGTGATGAGAATGCTGAATTCTAATAATTTCTCAACAGCGCAAAACAATTTATGCTGAAGAATCCGATCCTATGATAAAACAACTGTCCTGTGCTTCCCAGATTTCAACGGTCATCTGGCCAAGATTTTTCCTTGATGTAAACTACGAAATACAATTTAATTATTTGGGGATTACTTTCCGTCACTTGACATTGAAAATGAAATGTTTGATTCAGCAACAATTGATCTTTGTGCCACGTCATTATTCACTACTGAATACCAATCAGTCAGTTATGAGTAGCTTAGGACTTGGTACATATGTGTACCGGTTGTACTAGTTTTAGTAAAAGAAGAGACCATTAAGCAAGGTGAATTTGTTTTGAGGTGAATAAACGAATTTGGAGAATAAAAAGTACAAAATAGTCTTGAAGTTAAATATTTAAAGGAAGGCAAAAGATGAATGCATCCAAGCTATTGTGAATGATTCTAATCCCTTTCAATCAAGGTCTTCAATCATTTGTTTATGGGAATTGAAAGAGCTTCCACTACCATGGATCAAAACAACAGTTGATTAGTCGGTCAACTAGTTTCATAATTCGGTTTGGCAGCTGATGTATACTGAACTGTAGCAAAATACTAATCCAGATCCTTCTTATCTGAAGTAGCTCTCTTAATATAATGACTTCGTTAATATAAATCAATTCTTAAACATTTTTGTTATATTCGTTGGAATACCTTCTGTAATCCAAAGCCGTCTACAAGAAAATTCGGTGTACTGGAGTGGTGCCTTAAAAAAATGAAGAAATTTTAGTTGATTACTCTCGGTTTATTTATCTGATCAACAAAAGTTTGATTTATTTTTTGGCATTTTTTCTCAGACTACCCTACTCATTATTTTACTTGTGTTAGATTTATTATTTTTTAATCATTTTTACTACATTTTTGAAAAATCGACTTTTATGGTGGAATTACTGAATCAGTTGAAGCTAGACCACCATGGAAAACTTGGAAGCACTGGACGGCCGTCTCATCCTTGCACTTGACTCCTCAGGAATGTGCATTAACGACTCCGCCCTGCGGATTCGAACCCAGGACCAATCAGTCCCACACGCGAACGCCTAATCATTAGACCACTGAGCCGGCGTCCAACGGTGTTAATGTCTAACTTCAACTAATCCACGAAATTGAGCGGCACATTCACCATTGTTTTCAGTGAGTTACTGTCTCACAACAAACCCGGTTGAGCTCCACTGGTCACTGTTTCCCACTAGAACTCCGGGAAATACCTCTTCAAGCCAGTCACTAGTTAGCATACGATGATTATTATCAGAAGCACCAGGCAGTTGCTCACTGAAAACAATGTTGGACGTTGGCGCAATTTCACGGATTAGTTGAAGTTAGATATTAACACAGTTGGATGCCGGCTCAGTGGTCTAATGGTTAAGCGTTCGCCTGTGAGACTGATTGGTCCTGGGTTCGATTCTCTCAGGGCGAAATCATGGATGCGCACTGCTGAGGAGTCCAGTGAAAGGACGAGACGGCCTTCCAGTGCTTCCTTGTTTTCCATGGTGGTTTAGTTTCAATTGGCTTATGAATTCCGCTATAAAATCTCCACAAAACCCCTTCTGATAAAATTCAAAATTTCCCTATTTCTTGAAGAATCAATCATAAGAAATTCTATGAAATGTAAACAAAAAAAATGATACATTCTGATAGAATTTAATGAGTATATTACTAACAAGATTATTTCTTGAATACATATTCTCATTACTAAGTAGCTTGTGAATCATAGTGTTCAAGTGGATTTCTAATTGCTTTATACCTAAGGGTAATTAATTAGTTTATTTATAAATTGTATGGTGTTCCTTTATTGCCAATTAGTTTATGAATAATCAAGTACACATTCTCAAAACAGTCGACTTTAAGGCATATTTCTTATGTGATGGCTCATTATTCTATCAAAACAAAAATAAATAAAGTAATAATTGGACCTATAATCCAATGACCTGTAATTAAATACTGTGGAATATATATTACCTATCGTTGTGCTGTTTGGGTATTATATCAAAATAAAATGATAACAATTATTTCCATCTCTTACATAACACAACAACTATAAATAAATCAATAAAAACATATCATGTTACATGTTGGTTCAAGGTTGGATTAGAACATATTTTAATTTAACTAACTAAATCTGACAGATTACATTTGATCTGTCAGATTCATTTTATGTCTACCTATACTATTCAAATTTTCTTTTTAAATAAAATGGGTTTTTTTTTATCCAGTATTGAATGACCTCCTAGTGGTACTGTAGTGAACAGAACACGGGTGGGGACAATCGAATTGTATTTAGCACCAAAATACAGAGTTACTTGGTAAAATAGAAAAACTATATAGTAAATAGTTAATTTGCTAAATATCAATCCACATATCAAACCAGACTGTTCCTGTTGGAATTATCAATTCATTGTCTCACATTTCATTGTTCATACGTTCTCTTACAAATTGCATTGTGTTATCTCTCTTCCTTTCTTGATCTTCCTCCATCTTCTGATCAATATAAGTAGCACGCACCACAGTACTGCCTTAGATATTCATAAATTTTGAAATCAATTCCTGTTTAACTGATATGATTTTCTGGATTTTTCGTTTTATAGATTTGTGAAGTGAATTGTTAAGGATTTATTTCTTAAGTTGTAAGCCAAATGTAGTAAACTCTATTATTGAGGTATTTACTAAACCATATACTAAAGTAAACGAAAAATGTATTTCTGTAATTTTTATACAGGAAAGGTTTATAAGTTGTGATGAATAGCAAGTTAAATTGAAATTTTCACATTATACAATTTTACTTACCAATCCTGTCACTTTCTGATGATCTAAATGTATTTCCAGTAACATTGGCTAGTAATCTCCTTTGTAATAATGGATGGCCACCTTCACGTTCTAAACTGGACCCATATAATTCACTGGAACTTAAAGTAGTATCTGTTAGTTCTTCTATTAATTCTTGCGGACCTATCAGTCTAACAAATACTTGATAACTGATTTGTTTTGTGGTATGTAGACCTTCAGGAGGATCCCATGCTAATTCAACACATAAATATGGTAGGTCTACTTGTCCATGTACACCAGCTTGATCTGTTCGTGATAATACTGATGTTAAACGAGTTCTTTTGTGTATGTCCACAAGATGTAATTTTCTTGGTTTCATTGGGACTACAAGTTCAAAGGACAAAAGAGTATGGTTAACATTACATTAGTCATTTCTTAAAATGATTGAAAATGCACGAAATTCTGCATTTTAAGACAGGTTAATTAATTCAAGGATTGTCGTTACTGAAGGTGTGAATAATCATAACAAATTAACATCTTGTTGGTTTTATAAAAATTCTGAGGTAAACCAATGAAAGTACATAGACAAATATGGTAGATGATCTGTTTTTTTAAGAGAAACAATACAGTTACTGAAGATTGAACTATATTCGTTATTAAGGCACTAGATTTTATTATTCATTTATTTATTAGTTTGATAATATTTACTAAAAGGAACTATACTATCATTGTTAAATAACTACACAAATGTTCATTTCTGATCAATCTTCTGACTGAACGCTTGAATCGGTTTCCTAATCCCTTCTAATAACCGCAGGTTAAATCTGCACGACAAATCGAACACGAGAAAAAAAAGGCGCAAATTAGGGAAATAACGCTTCACTCCAATGTTCGTTTATGAACAGGAAATTTAGGGTATTTATAGCGTTTCGTATGACTTTGGGCTTCCGGAAGGTTCCAGAACGCTACTAAACTTAGTATCATGGTAGGTAATCATTTAGTCAGAAATATGACTCGTGACTCTTCACTTTCCAGGTGTTTCTGAGAAATTTATATTCAATGCTGATTGGATAGCGTTTTCAGTGCCCCCCCTGGACAATTTTCTAGGAGTATTCTGGATCTCTCTAATAATTTCATTTTTAGTTTAGTAAAAAACATGTAACAAACGTATTTTCTTTGTCGCTGGATTGTAATACAAATTTATTACCTTCTTCAATATAAAAATTGAAATGAGTCACAAGATTTTTGAAAGAAACAAAGACGCTGAACAAAGTGTCTCACTTTTGTCTGTTGTCTTCGCTGATATTGTTCAATGCAACAATTTATAGTTGCACAATTTTAGGTGCGTTTTTTTAAACTTTAACAAAATGAACGATACAACTAACATAACATAAACAGTTTTTAGAAACTTGAAAAATTAAGAATTTATAGTCAGTGGATTTTTGATGACGAATTTTATGGATGAATAACAATAATAATCTACGCGTTTCAGTCACCAAATGTAATTCAATATTATAATCATAGCTAAACCACCATTGGACGGTCGTTTCGTCCCGGGATGGGATACCTAATCAGTGCGCATCCACGAACTCGAGACCTCCAATCTCGCGTGTCAATGCACAACATCTAGATCCATGTGTAGTCGTCTGATGGCATAAACGTCTAACTTCAATCAGTTTCACAATAGTAGACTTAAATCATTACGACTGGAGATCAACCATATCTAGTGTGAAACAACTATTCACCGCAGGGTCCCGCAATATCTTGAATTGCTTGGAGTTAAACATGTGCAGCATTAGTTGCCAGTTCACTGGTATGGAGATTACGTGTTAACGCGCGAATGTACACTGCTGAGAAGTTCCATACCAAGATAAATTACCTATCCAATCCTTAATGGTTTTCAATGGCTATCTGACTATTATCAATACGTGACGTAAACTATGAGGTAAGCCTAAAAGACTTAGAGTATGTTTAAAATTAAAAGAATTTCGTAACTTATTCAAGTCATATTATTTATTTTGAAGTTCAATAATCATGGGCTAAACGGTAAGTTTAACGTATTTTTAAAAATAATTCATCCAAAACTTTAATCTTGTCAGTGAATCAGGTCAGAATTAGTAACTAAGTGGTAGAGTGTTTTATGTCTAGACTTCTATATAATGGAATAAGAAGTTGTGTAATACTGCCTCAGCAAAGTTAGTTCGACTAAACATTTCAAGTAATAAACATAATTTAACTAAGTAAATAATTTCACTGTTTTCCATACTGACTGATTATTAGAAATTGAAATACAATGTTATTCATTTTGTTAAATAAAACAACAACCGAGAGATGTACTACAAGATAATTTCGAAGAAAATCACATATACTACTAATCTAAGTTGGCAACTATTCCACAATAAGTTACATTTGATGAAAAAAGTGTGTTTTCATTCCCCTTATCTTACATCTAATAAATCAAGTTTTTTCCATGGATTCATATGGTCAGTTACATAACATGTTATAGTTTAACTGTTTACAAATGAAAAGAGATAATAATCTTATTGTACATTAAGTTGAAAATTGAAAATGGACGGATGCCAATACAGATTGTTTGTTGATTATGGGATGGAACCTAATCTATCCTTTAAGCTTCATATAAAGTATTTGAAACTTATGTAATTTATTTCATTTTACGTTAACAGAAAACAATTAACAATCAATCATAATTATATGACTAGACAAGTCAGATTCAAATGGTCAAATTTAAGGTCAAAGGTTATATTATACACTTGATGATCAAAATATACCGATAAGTATCGGAAGGGGTTTTGTTGAGATTTTAGTAATTTAAATAATTGAGATCATGAGTGAATCGAAGCTATACCACCATGGAAAACCTGGAAGCACTGGATGGCCGTTTCGTCCTATTGTGGGACTTCTCAGTCTATCGTGAATCTAGAAGTTGTAGAATGTAATGTGCTGAAGCTATTTATAAGAATTTGACTAAAACCCCAAAAGGTGATCGTTGATATGTATCTTTTGTTAATTAAATGAAATTCACTACTATTTAACATAACAATACATTACAATTAAGGCATGACGAATAACTCTCATTCCAATTGGTGTTCATTACTAAACCTTTTCAGTAGTAAGAATCAGATCAATTTAATTTCTCATTGTAGACTTAGACGTTATAACTAGGCTTCTATTTTACAACACTTAAAATTTTAAATTCACTTGGTGTTGTTTTACTTCTATCTTCCTATTGTCACTTAGGACTGTAATTAATCAGTCTTATGGTGGCATATGTGCATCCTGTGCGGATTGTCTCGATATAGCTTTAAGTCACAAGCTTTTCAAGCAAAGATGGATAGTAGCTAGCAATGGAATCCAGAACGCGCGTTTCATCCTAGTTAAGTGGATAACGCGGTGGAGTTTGAAGCGAACGGTACTGAGTTCGAGTCGTGGAGTGAACATCAACTCTGGGATGCAGGTACATCCAGCTGACACTTAACAGTTTAGTTTGTTATATAATTATTTGAAAGTCTACATGCTAACTGGCCAGTAAATAATAACCAATACCGTTTTGTCGAGTAATTATTTTTGACTGAATTCTTTAGACCATGTTACAAAGTGAGTACTTATGTGAGTGCTTTCAAGTCTCGATGAATATATTTTAATATTGAATAACTGAAAGTAATTTATTTCTCATGGTAATTGAAATTTGTCCAAAAGGTACATCTATAAACTTGTAGGGAGTGATATTAACCACAATATTTGTATACATATCAACCACAGTCAAAATGAACTCATTGAATTGAGATAGATATTTAAATTTATATTTCATGTACTACTACACATGTGTCAAATCTGTCACTACAATGCTATGAATCATTATTTTCTTTATAAAACAAGGCTTCCAAAATGGCATTTCTCAAATATAACATTAGAAATGTTATACTAATAAACCCTTTATTTTATATGTTCACCCATTACTCTTTTTTTGTTGTTTATGTACCGTTTTAAATTGGGTATTCGGTGTGAAAAAAAAATTTATTTTCAGTTTATTCTATTCGTTTATATGGGAGAGTAATTCTTGGTAAATTTATTTAGATGGTTAAGAAAGGTCAATAAGTGAAACTTATTATGAGGACAATAGAATAAGAAATTTGATCAATTTTAAGGTCATTAAATGTGAGAAAAATTCTAAAAATAATATTTTAGATAAAAATGTAAATGGTGCATAGTAACTTATGTCAAAGGCTGGATTTAATTCGACAGTCATTGAAAACGAGAAAGCATAAGGTATTATATATATAATCCAAGCACGGGACTCTTCAGCAGCGTGCATCCTTGGTTGAACCTAAGACCACTGAGCCATCATTTAATAGTCTACACTTTTAGTCTCCATCGATTTACTATGCAACACAGCAATCTTTCATTGTTATTGGCATATAACTGTCTCAAATTGACTGGCCGGGGCTTCTCATTAGAAATTTGAGAACTACCTCTCGAGTGTAGTTAACAGTAGTCATTTGATTATTAGTTCATAGAGATTGCTGAGTTTTATATCCTAGCACTAGTCCTCGACGAAAATCATAAAACTCAATAATCTTTACAAACCTCTCGTGTTAATAAAGTAGTTTACTTTGATGTTTGTAGGGTTTGTTTAATTTAGTTACGGTTATCATTATAGAACTGTACTTATCAAAAACAATAGAATACTGAATAGGTGTTTCTTTCTAACTAAAATTAAAACATCTTAATAACGAGCAACAATAACTTCATAAAAGAAAAGAAACGTTTAATCTTAAGTGTGTTCAATGAACATCATATCATTCATCTGCTGATGTATAATTTCTTAGTTTAATTTTCTCATTTCAACCCATTATTGGTCTGGTTAGATTGTTATTCAATGTAATTGGTTCTTACCGGTGAAAAATGTTTACGAACTGAAGTTAGTGAGTCATCTAATAACCATTAGTTTTCGATTTAGATGAAGATCACCAAAATAATCAAATTTTTATCACATCTCTAAATAAATGTCATTATTTTTAGTAAAGGTTAGGAAACCAACTTTATATATATGAATATTAGTTGTAAAATGCAAATAGTTGTACATATTTAAAAGTTTAAATAAAACTTTTGATCCCTTAGCTGAATGATGAAATGTTTTTTGTATTCATATTACTGAACAGTTGAAAATTACATTGGAATCATGAACAGATCATTGTTAGATCACCAGTGAAGACCGGAAAACACTGGGCGGTCATATCATATTAGTATGGGCTTTCTCAGCAGTCTGTGTCCCTGATCTCGCTTCTAAGTTTTTCATGGTGGTCTAACATTGATCGGTTTATAATTTCAGTGAAATTCAACAATCTACACAACCCTACACTGAA